CCACTCACAAAGCTTTTAGATCACTTCCAACGACCTTCCATTTTCATTGAAAAACAAACGTAGTAATGCTGTGCTCCCTCACCCTATGTCAGGGTTAGGGTTATCCAATAGTGTTCGCCACGTGAAAAGACCCTACGTTTTTTAAACTCTAGTGACCGTCTCCGCACATCCACTAGAAGTGTTGGTGTATTCGTGGCTGTTGCATCGCAGCGCTCATGACCGTGCCTCTACATAGGGACAAAATGTAAATCAATTAGTGGAAAAGCAGTTGGTGTAAACTAGACAAAACAACACAGGACAGTTTTTAGAAAAATATTGTTGATTAAATTAGCCGCTGATAGACCCAGTTTATACAGTTTATCTGCAACCCCCTCGCACCAAAAAGTCGATTTGGGGGTCAGTTAAATCTTAGGGCTTAGGTCTAGAAGTTTAGTCCGATTTATAATTTAAAGATAGCTTAGGAAAGTGTTGGTGACGATCATGGTGATATGATGAAGGAGAGATCCACACTAAGTCAATACAAAGTCCAAATATGGGTAAAAGTACCAACGTGTGGGTGTTTATCCAGATCAGGCAGGAGAAACCGTTGGAATGAGAGGCCAACGCAAACAGAAAGATGTTCTGCTATCTAACCCTCGTGGGACTATCAAATCTAATAGCAGTGCATTATATCACTGATTCTTATCATAAGGGGAACGAGTACAAACCTCTAACGTAGCACGCAGCAGAGCAACAAGGACACGCATCTATTTCTGTAATGAGTCAATATACAGACCAGACAAACTTCCTCTTTCTATCTAACAGATCACAGTTTACCTTGGTGAGATCATACAGGCACACAAAGGCTCAAGCGTCTACGCTGCGTGGCTGCTTTTAGTTCAACAATGTGGTCCTCTGTTCCTACTGTGGTGCAGGGATTAAAATATATATCCATTATTTGACACGACGCTGAGCTGTTAGGTATTTTCAGCCAATTAGCTCATTGGTTACTGTTTTAACTAGGGCTGCAACAACGAATCGATAAAATCGATAAAAATCGACTTTTAAAAGCGTTGGCAACGAATTTCATCATCGATTAGTCGTGTCGCGCGATTATTGCGTCATCCGCTGCGCCGTCATTACTGCCTCTTGACTGAAAGAGGAAGGAAAAAAAATACGGCAGAGCGAGTCAGCGCCGCAGGAGCAGTGTTGCCAACTCCGCGACTTTTCAGACCCCTCCAGCGACTATTTTTCAAAAAAGCGACTAGCGACAAATCTGGCGACTTTTTTCGGTGTCACTGGTGGCTTTTGGAGACTCTTACGTGAAAGCATGTATCATTCCTACTCTGCCGTGGGGCGCCTCCCCCACCCCAACCGCGTTTTCCCGCAGGAGTCCCTCTCAGTCAGAGCCTCAGCGTCCAGACTGCAAATGAAGCGCGCATGCACCGGGATTGACGGCGCAAATTGATCACAATAATTAAAATAGCCTGCGCTTTGTAAAGTGAAAAAAGTGATAACATGCAACTTTTTTCAAAAGAAATTAACATGGCACGGAACCACCATGTTTGTTTGGTTTTAAAGTGGGGAAACGTTACGTTAGTTTCTCAGGTAGCTCATCTGATGCTTTCCTTATCTTGTTAGTAGGTTACAGACAGTGATAAGGTTGGCTACTTATTTTACTTTAAATTTCATTTGAACTAGCTTAAGCAGCGTTTACATTTACTTTATAAATAAATTAACTTGCAAATTATGAGGGCAAGACTTTTAAAGTTTAAATCTGGCAAAGATAAAGTAAAGATGATCCTGCAATTTATAGAAGTAAAGCAGAATAAAATCCAGCAAGATCAGTAATATGTCAATTAATTATATGCCACATTCCCATGTAAATATCTGTCTTTGGAGGATGTGTTTTTTAGCACCCCTAGTTCTCTCATTTTTATTCCAAATACAATTTATAATTTGAATCACAGGGCTATTTTTATCTCTATGGTTCAGTATTTTCTCAAGTAGCAACTTTAACTGCTGTACTTTCCTGTCTTAAAAGGCAGAACTCTTCTAGTCTAAAAAAAACTCATTTGTTGAAATGGGGGGGCCTATTGTTTGAACCCCTTAGAGGCTTTTAAAAACAAAAATTTCTTTTTTTGCGCTTTATGAAACAAAGTACCCTATATTTTGTGGATGTACATCTACATTTCTCATGTAAGTTTGCGTAGTTTTAACACAAACATTTATTTTTCATATTGCACCAGTACAGTTAATGAGCAACCTGTACTTGTGTGCTTGTTTGTTCTGTCTATAATGTTTATTTTGGAATAAAGAGGTTAATATAAAAAATATTTTTTGTCCGATTCATCGATTAATCGAAAAAATAATCGTCCGATTCATCGATTTTTAAAATAATCGTTAGTTGCAGCCCTAGTTTTAACCTCTCTTTAAAGATTCTCTTTATCTTGTGTCAATGTAAACTAAGCTATATGGTTTTGACTTTTGGATAAAACAAGCTTCAGACTAAGCAGTTAGCTAATTTTCAGACTAAATTGTTGTCCAGCATTTAAAAAGCAGCTGCGTTTGTTAATGTCTCATGACTTGGCTTCTCAATGATGTTTTCCTGTTGTGCTACTGGTCATTAAAGTACCTACAGCTCACTATACTACAGGGGAAGAAAGCCATAATGGAAATACACGCGTAGGGTTTCGATTGACATATTGAATCATAGAGAGTTTTGTCATTAACTTTTGCTTCTATTTTGACTTTCTGCGGGACGATCTGATGGGTTATCATTTTAGGATGTTTAAATAGGATCCTCAAAATAGATCGATGTTTCCTGTGTGGGCTGTATGCCTCTAAAATGTGGTGATGTCACCTGTTTCCTGATGATTGTTGGCTTTTCTGGATTTAGCCAGTCACGGTGAGCAAAGGAAAGCCCCGACACTGCTTTGCAGCAAATAAACAAAAAGCAAACCCAGCTATCTGAAAGAGTCACAATCTTTCGGAGAGTGACTTAAACTTTTAAATTCCACTTTGAATAAATGGAAACACAAAAATAATCAGATTATTGCTTTTAAAACATTTATCATCAGAAGCTGTGCGGCTAAAAGTAAAATAAAAGGCCGGAATTCATCACTGTTACAGCAACACCAAGTATCTGAGACACAGTAAGCGCACAAAGGGATCTAATCTCAAATCATCACACAAAAAAACATCAGCTAGTTTTGAAATTAACTTTTCAAAATACTTTTAAACAGCATTGGCAGACTGTTAGGTAGACTGTTTAACATTTCAGCAGTTTGCTGAAAGAATCCTCCCCCTTTTCACCTTTACTGGTTGGCCATTTAGAAACTCCAAAAATCCAACCCTTTTTCTTGTCAGTGAACACACCAAAGCAAAGTGGTAACATAAACAATGTTTGATTCGGAAGATGCTACAAACAGAAGGAAGTTATTATCCATTTTCAATATTAGAGATCGACCAATGAAGGTTTTTGTAAGGTGGATGATGATTATTTCGCCATCAATGTCACTGATCCCTGATATTTGCTGCAGATTATGTTTGGGAGGTGATTTTTGGAGTCGATTTAGCTTTTTTCTTCCTCCATTTGCTTCATAACGGCACAATGATAACAGGGTTAGCAGAGGAAGCCAAATTTAACGCAGAGATGCTGTTCTGCTAAAGCTGTGTCGATTCAATGACTCTAAATGGCTGGTTATACTCCCCGCAGCAGTGTGTCGCAGACATTTTTGATTTATGCCCCATATTGAAGCGTGGTCAAGCGCTATGTTATTGCACGCCACAACACTAGAGGGACAGTCACGAACTAGTTGTGGGTCTAAATACGGCCGAGGTGGTGAGGAAGTGGGGGCAAGTTTTTCCGACAACGGCGGGACAAGAGGGCGAAAAAGAGCGGGGATCCAGGTGGAAAAAGGGTCCCAGCGTTCTCGTGCACCTCGCTCTTCTAGCTGGTGCTACTTCACGAGTCGTTTTCCGCAATGGCGGTCATACAAACAAAACAAGCCGGTAAAGTACCAAACAGGAAATATGCATAGTGTAGAGCGGATTTAGATTTGACCAATCAGAGGCCTCCTGTCTGCGGTCACCTACAATTTTTGAGAGGTTCACCAGAGTGTCTGAGGAAGGGGCGGGGCATATCTGCTTTAACTGCGAGACTCTCAGCATAAACATTTGCTAAAAACTAAACTGCTGTGTGTTTTTAATGTTAGATTGAAGTTGTTCTCATAGCAGAAAAGATAAAATTTTCTTAAGGATAAACAACGTACAAAAACAAACAACCTTTTCTTTTTTATTGTCAGCCTTACAATAAAATATAATTTTTCTTAAAAACCGACGACCGTAATCCTTTTATTAATTACTAGTTTATTGGGACGTGCAGGTGGTGCAGTGGTTAGCGTGCATGGCCCATGTACGGATGCCTTAAGGCCAATTTATGCTTCTGACGCATAGCCTCTGCAACCGTCAAATCTGTCTCCGTGCGTGACCACGCCCCCGTGCAGAGGTTCTGCAAACCGTCGTTGCGCACCTAAAAAAAATCCTGACTACGCGTCGGACGGTCGCAAACAAGCGCAGACCTCAAGCGGAAGTGCGCAGACAAAAAGCAGCTGTGATTGGTCCTTGGTATGCCTTTCAGGCTATCAGAGGCCGGGTTCGAATCAAGCCTGTGGTCCTTTCCCTCATGTCCCCCCTTCTCTTATACCCCCTTTCCTGTCAGCCTACTGTAAAAAAAAAAAAAAAACACAGCCACTAGTTCTGTAAGAACTCAAAAAAATAAAATAAAAAAAAGGTTTGTTGTAAGGTCGATAAAAGCAAGAATCTTAAAATTTTAAAATGTTTTATGAACATTTTAAAATGAAATAGACACTAGTGACATTGGGGACTGGTTTCAGCAGAGCGACTGATTTCTGGACGTTTTTGGTCTGATGTTGCTCCTATTATAAGTAGTTTAATCAGCTATTAGTAAATGAGAGGTAACGGCAGCAGCATCAGTTTATTGGTTTGTGACGTCTCACCTGTTGTCGGTTGTGTGCCAGGGTAGAGCGTAGGAGCCGGAGTGGAGCTGCATGGCAGACGGAGGGGGAGGAGGGGGGAGCGGAGGGGAGTCTGCAGGGGGGAGGAGTGGGGTCAGAGGTGGAGGAGACGGAGGAGGTGGTAGGGGGAGCGTCTCCGACAGCTTGGCCAGGTGCCAGGAGTGAGGCCTGATGAGAGGGACGCTGCGCCTGTGTGAACGAGAGGAAGACACAGGGTCAGGGTTTAATCCCTCCAGGAACCAAAGCTGGAGCACAGAAAGATTATCTAGACTTTAGATTAAATAAATAAAAACAAACCAGCACTCTGTCACTTTGTGACCTATTACTGGATCTTTGTCACGTCACCCCCCCCCCCCCCCCCCCCCCCACCACCACTTTCATAGTTTATGTTCTCAGCTGTTTTTTGTAACACAGAGGCTCCGATGAAACGCAGACCAACCCCCAGCAGAGCCTTCAGCACAGAGCTTCCTTACAGTCTGCTCGGACTTTCCCAGCGCTGCCATAAAACACTCATCTCACATGAGCAGTAAGTTCTCCTGTCAGATCTAAGTCCAGGCATTCCACCGCGTCCAAAAATATTCCCTAATTCCTTTACACAGACTTCCGATCTCACTCGCCGGGCCAAATTCAACTGAGCTCCCCCGCAGACAAAGTGTGAATTTGAGATGAAGAAACAATGAACACTAAGAGAGGTCAAAAAGCACCTGGGAAGAGAACCAGATAAGTATGATTGTTGGAGACTAAAATAAAGCTCGTATCTTTACAACACAGCGGCTGGAATCCTGCTGCTTGGTGGAAGGAGCTGGAAAAACTGCTGAGTTGACAGCTAAGGTTGGACTAGATTTAGGCCTGGAAACGTGAGGTCTATCTATAAATGCAGCTGCTGAAAACGAAACAGATCTGGAAGCCAACATCTTTAAGTCTCACCTTGAAAATAGTTTAAATAAATAGAGGAAGGATCAATAAAACCTCACTAAATTCTGTTAGGACTGATCCGCCATTCTAAAATACTTGGAAATGCAGGTAAGGACACCATGAGGAAGAGTAGACAATGTCCAGGATGGATGATTAAACGGAAATCAAATACTAGACCGTTCTGAATATGTTTAGAACCTTCAGACAGATCTTCATTTGAACCAGTACCAGGACATAAATAAGAACAGAAAAATAAAAAACTAAAGCAGACGACCTGGAGTTCAGTTGGACCTACAGTTGGGCAACAGCCCAAAGTGAAACGTACGGTTCTCAAAACAGAAAGTGCTAAAACTGTGAAAACATACTAATCTGGGTATTTCAGAGAAGCACTTGAAGTACAATTAAGGAAGAAGAATGTAGATCCTGGCACCACGAGGGAGAGGAAAACACAGTTTTTGACTATTATTGTTTGTGATAAAGCAGGAGCAGTAGACCCATTTCCAAAATAAACACTCTGGTTTCCTGGTTATGGCTTCTTTGGAGGGATTTCCATCTAAGCCCAGTGATTGTTCAACTCCGCTGACAATGTCCTTGAATTATCCCCTGAGAAAGTTTATGTAAACCCGCAAATGTGCGTCTACCAGTTTGTTTGTGTGGGAGTCATCCTAAGTCAACCAGAAAAAGTATCATTATTGAACGCACCCCTTTCAGTACCACTTCCTTTTACGTCAAGTTGAACTTTCTGAAAATGATGAAAAAGACAAACACAACAGGAAGTGAATAAAAACGTTTATAACCAAGTAAAAAAAACTTGAAATATTACTAACAAATATCCCAAAATACAAGTTGTGTTTTTCAATCTACTACGTACCCTGGAACATTGATGTGTTATTAAATAGGAAAATCAACCAACAAACAAAAACACTCCAGAAAATTCAGCATCTTTTTTCCCTATAAGCTGAGAGGTCCCGAGGTTTTGATTAGCAACGATGGGAAAATGTCAAGTGTGAAGAACTGCAACATTAACACACAACAGAATGCTGTATATATTTCCTCTCTGTTTTACCACATTAATTTAGTAATTTCGGACTATCAGTGAAACATTTTAGCAGAGGAATGTGTGGGAACAGCCCGACAGCGTGCATGCATCTAGTCTGTCCAACAAACATAATTTAGTGCTAAGTGAGTCTCAGAAATCTTAACTGCACCAAATTAGTTTAATTCTGGAGAGCGTAATGGCTGTGAATACATGAAGTAGAAAGATAAATACTTCTAAAACTGCTTTAAGTACCAGCAGCAGATAATAGTAATTATCTCTTACCAACATAGTCAAAGCCCTCTATAGAGCTGTTAGCAAGAGGCTACAGATGTACCGCATATTGGAGTGTGACTAACTGCACTAAGTGAGGTAAAGCAGTAAGAAAGCTAAGGTGTAAGCAAGGCAATGTAAAGCAGTAAGAAAGCTAAGGTGTAGCAAGGCAAGGTAAAGCAATAAGAAAGGTAAGGTGTAAGCAAGGCAATGTAAAGCAGTAAGAAAGGTTACGTGTAAGCAAGGCAAGGTAAAACAGTAAGAAAGGTAAGGTGTAGGCAAGGCAAGGTAAAGCAGTAAGAAAGGTAAGGTGTAAGCAAGGCAAGGTAAGGCAGTAAGAAAGGTAAGGTGTAAGTGAGGTAAGATAGCAAATGAGGTAAGACATTAAGAAAGGTACTAAGTAAACAGGGTAATAAGTAAGGTAAGGTGGAAACTAATGATGATATGATAAGATAACAAGAAAGGTAAAGGCAGTAAGTAAATAAGGCAGGATACTAGATTAAGAAGATTAAGAAGTCAGTAAGATATCAAGTAATTAAGAATTTGGTCCAATATCAGTCAAAAAAAATGTTATATATTGGCCTGTAACTAAAATCTCTGATATTAGCGCACTGATAAACATACTACTTCTTTTCGAACCATCCGTAAATAAATGTATTAGTAAATGCGTCTGTTGTTCTCATACCTGCTAGTGTTGAGTAATGCTCTTTAATATTACTTGATAGAGACTTTTAACAATCCACTCTGAAAAAAAGTAAGTAATAAAACTATGTATGATTCGTGCTGATCAATATCAGTATTGGTTAATACTCAAAGGTGCCTTATGTCATCCTATCGGAAAAGAAAAAGCTGTTTCTAAACAATACTAATAGTAAAAAACGAAGTAAGAAAAAAAGGATGTAGTTTATTTATACACGCTAAAACATGCCAAACATCGCACAAAAACACTTCACGCTTTCTTTGTATAACATTTACTTTATAATGATCAGGCAATAAATAGTTTTGACAGAATGATTCAATAAACAGAGAAGGCTGTAAGCCAACAGATAAAAAAGTAACTAGAGTTTATACCAGCCTTACCAGAGGTATGCCTATTACAGCACACCACCAAACATTTCATGCTAGTGAGCCTTCAGGATTTAGGAAGCCTTATGGAAATCTCATAAGTTTCTCTACGAAACACAAACTGTCACTGCTGATTTCAAAATCTAAAAACAATTCACAACGTCCACCCCTTTTCCTCTGGTTTAACTCAGTACATTAAGTACGCACACAGTGTGTCATCGCCTCTGCTTCCAATATTAGAAATTATTGATGTTTCACAGGAAAAAAAAGGAAATACATGTTTGAATGCAGCTTAAAAATTGTAACTGGCCCGATGCAATGTCATTCTGCCCCCTGAGACGCTGAAAAATGCCAACAAGGTGGTAGGTGCCAAGAGACCCTGAGTAGAGCTAATTGACGGGATGAGCAGTGGGTCAGGATTAGAGAGAATGGAAGCTAGCTTAGCTAGCCTTGCTGAATGATTGAGAGTGACCAGAGAGATGCTGGTAATCACTCAGTGGACAGATTTTATAAAATGGAGGTATTATAACCCCGCTTTGACATCGGAGGTTGAAAGAGGTTTTGTTGAGTCCAGCGGGCCGGAGCCTTATCAGTTCAAGGTGCTAAAGACAGGAAGACTCGCTACTGGGGCGTCTTGTTTTAATCAGTTTCAACGGAGGTTGAAAGAGGTTTTGTTGAATCCAGAGGGCCGGAGCCTTATCAGTTCAAGGTGCTAAAGACAGGAAGACTCGCTACTGGGGCGTCTTGTTTTTAATCAGTCGTATTTATTAGTTTGAAATGATGATGAAGGCTTCTACCAAAGCGTTTACCACCATGAGCTATTCAAACCATTAGGAATGTTTAACTGAAATTCAACCAAAAACTATTCCAACAAACAGCACACAACTTAACAATCCTACCTGAAAACATAAAAAAAGCAGAGTAAAATTTTAAAAAGCACCCAATAAACTCAGATTATACAATTAAAACACAGAATAAGTGTATTTTGGGGTGAGTTTCGTTTCACTTTAATCTGTAATCTGTATTAGAAGGTCAACAATTCACTAAAAAGAGATAAGAAATCACAGACAAGTCTCTGAAGTATCTTTCTTTAAGAGGATTTATAAATATATTTATAGGTCTGAAATGCTCAGATTGGAGAGTGTTTGAGTAAAGCTTGGGATTAACACAAGGCCTTCAAATAACATTTGGACAGAAACATTTGCTACTTTCCTCTTTCTGACACTTTAACCTAGTGGGCAACCAGGCGCTGCTTGAAAAAACAAACAAAAGAGGAATCCCCTGGAGTCCACTCTGAATTCACTATAGCATGACAGATGAGAGTAAATCCTTGACACAAAGACAATGAATTAATCCACTATGTGTACAGACATTTATTTTGATCAACAATTATATCCATAAAAGCTGACAGCAAGTGGAAAGTTTCTCCTTCAAAACATCCAACTTTTAAGCATCTTGAAACGAATATCTGATTAAAATAAAATCAAGACATTGGCTGCTAAGATCAGATTCACTGAACAACAAAGATGAGAATTCAAGAGAAAAAAAAAAGATGGGCTGCTGCTCTGAAAGAGCCTTTATGAAAAGATCTGCTGGAATGTCGCAATTAATGTCCAGAAACAGCTGACTGAAACCACAAAGGTCATCATGCATAATCAGAGTCACACACCGAGTCTCAATAAAGCGCAGAGAAAATGCCAGAGACGGACAGGCAGATCTAAGCTCTAGAACAGAGGAAGAAAAACTTCTGTAGTTCAAGATGAGTATAAAGAAATACCCTCCTGTTAAGGTTATTTTACGAGGAGCAGAAAGTTTTCAAACCCACCTGTCAGCAGAGGAATCAACCGTTAGAGCGATCCCAGCTCAACTGTCAGCATCCTAGACTGCTAGAGTTCAAGTT